TATATATATATATATATTTATATTTATATTTTTTTTCAGTTATTTTAGATTATTTCCAAACCTTGTCCTCTCGGAGTTGTAGTTTCTTCTTCATAATCATTTGGTGTTCCAGCTTTATCAACTTTAAATAAAAAACTGTTCTAAAAGGGACTGTAAAGGAAAAATGAAAAGGGTATAGGATAAATCATTGTTATGTGATACAGACGGAAATCACGTGACCAGTACATTGCACTGCCATTGGCTGAAGTTATAGTGACGTAATAGGGACTATACGGACTATATGTAATAATATTATCAATAATAGGTAAAAAATTAGTCTAGCAGGAAGTGCGTCATTCAAGGATACCTTGTAAATCGTGCATTGCCATTTTTGCACGGAGTCACATAGAATTACGCTTACAGTCCCTTTAAAAAAAGAAACTTACCGTCGGATGGAACAGTGCTGGAGTACTCTGGAATTTCTGTTCTGTTAAAGTTGGCTAAACAAAAATAATATAAATTCTACATGTTGTTTGGGTTGAAATATAAGCGCAAAATTTGGTATCTATTAAAGCAATTAAGATAATGTAAAATCACCTGGGGAAAACCCATCAGTGGAAGTTTGATTTGGAGTAGAAGTAGCATCTAATTATACAAAATGCAATACTTTGTTTTCATAATAATGGAAGAACATCAACATTGAAAAGACAAAAAGGAAAAAATACGTTTTTTTAAATTAATATGAAACAAAAACCTGTATCTTGTTTTGATGCCGTTTCTGGTGTTTCCGTGATTTCTGGTAGTTGGGTGGATTCTGATATCGGAGTAGTTTCTGATATAGAAGAAGTTTCAAGGGTAGAAGTACTTTCTGGTGTATTAGTTTCTGATAAAGGAGTTGTTTCTGGTGTAAGAGTATTTTCTTGTATAGAGGTTGTTTCTAGCGTAGCAGTTGTTTCTGGTATTGGAGTGGTTTCTGGTAGTGGAGTAGTTTCTGGCGTAGCAGTTGTTTCTGATATCAAAGTTGTTTCTGGTATCGGAGTGGTTTCTGGTATCGGAGTGGTTTCTGGTATCGGAGTGGTTTCTGGTAAAGGAGTGGTATCTAGTATCGGAGTGGTTTCTGGTATTGCAGATGTAACACTAACAGCAATGGTTGGGGTTCCTGAAGTAAGTTTAAGTTACTGTCTATTTGTAGAGTGACATGTGAATTCACAACAGCAGCATATATTGCTTAAACCTTTGACTGATCTGTCAGACTTAATACGTATATTCGGTATTTGAGATAGATTTAACCGTAATGTTACATTGTCTATACGCCACATCCCCCTACTAAACTTCGGACCTACTGCAATATCGGACCTACGCCAGCTGTTTATTTTTGAATTATTTGAGGGTTAGGTTAGGTCAAGACAATTTCTTGGCCGATTATCTTAATGATTATGATTAGAATGATCAAGCGGCCCGACTTTTTTATCGATCATATTATCCATCTAAATATCCACCAATTAGGGTTAAAACTAATGCACTGACTGACGTCATTAGACTGACTTAACCCTATTCCTGCTGGAGGGGGGGGGGGTCAATTTGACCCCCCCTGTAGTTTTTTTTACATAACTCAAAAAGTATTGGTCTGAGGCTGTTGAAATTATCTGACTTTTCTTACATACCCACAGCCCTCCCTTTAGGCCTAAAACCGGGCTTTAATACTAACTGCCTGAGTCCTCAGGCACACTGCCTGAATGACTGCTTTTTCCTGTAACAAACTAAATCTTTGTTTTGACCCACTTCCAATTGTCAGATTTTGATAAAATTTAGCTTTTTGGAAAGCCTTTGACATAAGGAAACGAATTGCTCAATTTTTGCGAAAAAAAATTGTAAATTTTTTGCAAACAACCTGTCAAAGGAAATTTGCACATTTTTAGTTTTTCTTGATTAAAAATCAGGTTATTTAAAATTTTGCAAAATTTTTTGCATATTTGAAATGGCATGGTCAAGGGCTTTTCAAAAATGTATAATTTTTCATTTTTTGAACAAATTTTTTTTTTGCAAACATTTTTACTATATAACTGGATTTTGCGAAAAAAATTCAATTTTTGCAAATTTGCAAATTTTTTTGCAGATTCTAAAAGTAAAGCACAAGAGCTTTCCAATGATGTATCATTTGTCATATTTGGAAATCAAACATGGGATTTAGAGGGGGGGGGGGCAAATTGACCCCCCCCCCCCAGCGTATCCTGGTTTTCAAGTACCCCAGCAGAGATAGGGTTAACAGTGATTTTAGTTATCCAGGAAAGCGTTAGCTTTACTAAAGTACGATAAAAAGGGTTCGCTGATTTTCAAGTTGATTTAACTAACAATGATTTAACATGATTTAACAATGATATAACAATGATTTAACAATTTTTTTAACAATGATTTAACATTGATTTTATAATGATTTGACAATGATTTAACAATGATTTGACAATGATTTGACAATGATTAAACAATGATTTAACAATGATTTAACAATGATTTACAATGGTTTAACAATGATTTAACAATGATTTAACAATGATTTAACAATGATTTACAATGGTTTAACAATGATTTGACAATGATTTAACAATGATTTGACAATGATTTAACAATGATTTAACAATGATTTAACAATGATTTAACAATTATTTAACAATTATTTTACAAGGATTTAAAAATGATTTTAAAAGATTTAAAAGATTAAATTTACCTTTTACTGGATTTTTATTGTAACCTCTTGGAAGATTTGCCGGCTTATCTTCAAAACACAAATATTATAAGTTTTCAATTATTTTTCCAAATATTAAAAATACCTGTTGTTTTAGGTTTTAATGGCATACTTTCACTTTCTACATCATGCACTAAAATACATTTTGTTTATTATTTTTTAGAGACGAAAATTTTTTTACAAGATAAAAAATAATTTACAACAGAAGGTTGGTGGACAAACTTTGCCAGAAACAGCCATTTTTTGCATTGGAACAAAGGAATTGAGACTTTGCCACAAACTCAGATTTTCTAATCCTTATATCTCTGCAACCCAATGTTGGAGACCTTAGCTATTTCTAACTATGAATTCTGATGGATCAGATAATCTAAGTTTGAAATATCAAAGGTTTACATCATCTGGTATGTAAGATATAAGGATTAGAAAATTTGAGTTTTGTGATGGAACTCAATTCCTAATTATTAGCATTTTGTTTCAAAATATGTATTCCATTGAATCAAATGAACTAACTTTAAAAGTATCAAAGGTTTACACCAACAGGTTGCACAAATATAGGGATTAGAAAATATAAAGTTTTGGAAAAGACTCAACACTTTAAACCAGAAACAACTCTTATTTGCATTGCAACAAATTACTAGCATTTAGTTTCTAAATTTGTAAAAATTGATAATTCTTTAATAATTGATCACTTTACAAGAGATAAAAGCCAATTGTTAACCCATTGTCTTAATTGCTTGATTGTAGTTCTTCATGCCATATTATTCTGATATCTTTGTTTAAAGAATTTATAATTATGAAAATTAATCTTCCATCGAAATTAATGCAATAAAAGATGATTTATAGCATCTTCTCAATTTTCTTATTATTTAAATAGAAATACATTTTAAAAATATTTTGTTTTTAACAGATTAATTTTACAATTTTTAATAAGTTAAAGAGACTAAGAGACTGTACATGTAATTTAATGTGACTAACCCTCCATTGATTGGCATGATTTACAACTGTACCCTTAAACACTTCTTTTAATTAAGATGAAATGTATCATTTACTCTCTAACAAATTAGAAATGGAAATTTAAAACCCCGAATGATTCAATGTTAACCCCTTGATTCTAATTTGTCTGAGAGTAAATGACATTCCTTTGTAAAAAATAACAAATTATTTTTATTATTCATTATTATTTTTAAAAGGGGCGGGATTAAAGGAAAATTGTTGCATACCAAAAAACCAGCTTTTTATAAAGAAATGGATATTTATGTTATCATTGTTAAAAACTATTTAATTTGTTAAAAGCGACGTTATCTTCTACAGTATTGAGAAAATGAAGGTTTCAAGGGTACCCTTGTGAATCAGACAAATACCTCTATAATTAGAGGGTAACTTAAATATTAAGACGACATTTGTTTTAAAAATATTCAATGTATTTACCTGTCGCATTAACTACAGATCGTTCCATAGCTGTTAAATGAATTTTTCCTAATTTTCAAACATCAATGTTGATCAAAACATTTTTTTCAAAGGAATAAAGTTTTTGTAACAAATTGGAATTTTCTAATCCCTATATCTTTGTAAACTTTCATTATTTCAAACTTAAATAATTTGATCCTACAAAATTCATAGTTTGAAATATCTAAGGTCTGAGACTTTGGGTTGTAAAGATATTGGGATTAGAAAGTCAGAGATTTTGGCTCAGACTCAATTCCTTTAGTTTTTATTCTGAATTTTTTTTGGGAAAAAAATTCTCAAATAAATACATTTATTTAGAACTTGATGCATAATGTTTTTTTTTGTTGACATTTTTTCTAAATTTTAATCAAAATTAATAATTTTTGAAATTAATAAATAGATTCACCTTTTCCCTTTACAGTGCAGGTACACAGCTTATTGGTCAGGTTACTTTTTAGTCGCATAATTCTATTAAATGTTAGTTTAAAGTATAAAGTTCTTGAATATCCCCCCCTCAATTTTAAATGATGGCAAAAATTAATGAAATATAGATGGAAAATATGAACGATAATTTTGAAAACAAACAAAATCATCTTTTTTGAATGGTTGAAAAAAAAGAACGAAATGATCGTTTACAAACAATGAACGAACGAAATGAAAAAAGGCAAACGCGCCTATCTATAATAATATGAACCTGGCTATTTCATCATTACAAGGTGTAGGTTCTCCAACAGGGACTCGAGTGCTTCCAAATAAGCATGTTTTCAAATCTAGTCATAATATCATATCTGTACTTAAGGTGCATAGTTATACAACATAATATGTACCAACAATTTGGATTCTATTTATAACTTTTACTAAAGAACATCTTTTATATATACTTTGCTTGTCTGCTTGTTTGTAACATATTAACGTCAAAACGGCTGAACCAATCGAGCCCAAAGAAGGTAAAAATATTTAGATTTATCAAACTTACCCCCCCCCCAAAAAAAAAATCGATAAATATCAATAATTAAAAGTTAAAATTGAAGATGGGCACGCTGCCCTGGAGGCCTAGTAATGTAAAAATGTACATTATATGCAATTAAATGTTAAAATTAAAGGGAAAATATATTTATAATTTTATTTAATAATGGATATTCTCTTTTTGAAATACCAAAACTGATCTAAACATAATCATTTCATGATAGCCGGATTTCTGAAAGAGAGAGAGAGAGAGAGAAATTTCTATAATTTAAACTAGCTAACATAAACTAGCTAACATAAAAAAACGTCTCAAAGATAAAGATATAAGAACCGTTGTAAATCAGACATATGAAACTCTAAGGTTATTCTTTTGTACTTCAGTGTACTGTCTCTGGGCGGTAATGTAAGCACAAGACGGATGTCGAAGCCTGGCATAAAAAATCAATGAAATATTCTGGTCATAGGAAACTATTATGTGAATTATCAAAATTATCAAAATTTAATGCTTTTAACCTCCTCGGATACTAAAAGAACACTGATGCATCTATTCTTGTTTACAAATTCCGCCCAGAGAGAACTGGTTTCAATGTGTACGCAGAGTATACGCAACCGCAATTAACTTTCCTTACATTATAACCTTGAAATTGAGGGTTTATTAAAAATGCGTCAATAGTTCCTTGAAGTGTACAGTTTAAATCATGAGTTAGAACTTATTAAAGGGACTGTATAGGTGAAATGAATAGGAGTAAAGGCTGAAGCCAAACATTTAATCGCGACTAACATTATTTCTATCTGATGTCTCACAAAATTAATATAAAACTGTATCAAACTTAAATATATTTCAGTTTTTAACTTCACATTTTTATTAAAAAAAGAATTATACTAAACATAATGTTTCACGTCTATCATGACGATCCTCATATATATATATATATATATACTTAAACATATGTGATATGGTATAAACCATGGAGATGCCTAAATTTTAGGTATACTATAATTTGAATATATTACATATTTATTTTTAATAGATATAATTGTTAATATAATTATTACGTCTGTATCACATGACCAGAATTTCAACCAATGGTAGCGAGTATCTGGTCACCTGACTCCGTCGGTTATATTACGTACATATGAATTTTTGTAAAAAATGTTATATAAATTTCTCGAGACAAGCCCTTCAGATAGAACTAATATTGGTCACAATTAACTAGCTACTAAAACTTATAGGCTTCTGCCTGTAATACAGCTAGGCCCTGTATCCCTTTTTGTTTTACCTTTAAGATCAACAAAATATAAATTCTTGTTTAGTGTTTACCTTTAGATATTTTTGCTTCCTCCAGTTTATATCTAACTAAAATATTTAGTAATATTATTTTCATCTCAAAATAGAACAGTTTATATCTAACTAAAATATTTAGTAATATTATTTTCATCTCAAAATAGTACAGTTTATATCTAACTAAAATATTTAGTAATATTATTTTCATCTCAAAATAGAACAGTTTATAGTAGAATCAAAAATTACTGAAAACTCCGTTAGCAAACGGGAAAAGCGTTAATTTCTAGATCGTGTACAAACGAAAAGAGCATAGCTGCCCTACATAAAATTTTTAACAATTCTGGGTTAAAATAGATTTTGATTTTATAGCTGCATTTTGTTTTTATTGTACAGATTGCCAAAATAAAATGTAAAATACATAAGAAGATAGAATAAATAATATCAGAAAACTGAATAAATCTTTATTTATGAAAATATATTTTGTTTAATAAATTGAATATTATTATAATTACCTCCTTGGCTAATAGTCTTTCCAGATCTTGATGCAGACACAATAATTCCTAATATAAACATATGGTAGGCTTTTATAGCAATACAATGAAGACGACTTATATCAAGAGGTTAAACAGCATGAATACACATAAAAATAGAAGGCAGGAGAAGCTGTCAATAAAAAAGGAATCTGATAACTTGTAAACTTGTAATTCGAAAAATGCTAGTTAACAATCCAAACTTAAATAAAAAAGTCGTCTTTATTGTATTGATATAATCTCCTACCGCCTTATGAAGATTTTGTTATTAATTGATGTATTATGTATTTTATCTACAAAATGCCTCTCAATAAAATGGACTAATCCTCATGCTGAATCCATGACCCTCTCTTCCCAAAAAAGGAACTGATTCCTTGATTCCTTGTCACAAAATCTATTTTTCTAAAATCTTGCACATTTAATGTATCAAATTATGTATATGTCAAAGTTTTACACCTCCAGAGGCCGAATTTAAACAATTTGAGCGGCGGCTTAAATTTAAGTCGCGGCTTAAATATGGTTGGTTCCACTTAAAATTGTATCAAATGTTTCAAGATTTAAGCCGGCGCTTAATTTAAACTGGGTTTTGGCAATTTTAGTCCGTGGCCCAAATTCTTTAAATTCGGCCTTAGGTTGCAAAGATGTAGGAATTAGAAAACTAAAATTTGTGTCAAGTAATCAGTTTTTTATATAATAAGATAAAGGGTTACCCACAAAGGATAATCTGTAATGACGACCTACAATCACCCCACTTCAAAACTAAGTTGAATGATCCGAGCCGGTACAACATGTACTGCAATGCATTCAGTCGTACTGTCCAGTCTGGACTTCTAAGTGTAAAGTCGACACTACATGTTTTATGCAACACATGTAGCCTGGTAAGATCACAATGCAATATGAATATTGAGATACGAAGGTTGAATTTGGTGTTTTGCCTTAAAAATGTTCTTAAACAGATAAAATGAATAATTTGAGGAAAACAGAGACAAGGTTACAGAAGCAATTATGTAAAAAAGGATAGAATTAGTCCTACCATGATCCGGTAACAGGGAGCAGATACAAAGAGCATTGGTGAGATCTACGCTAAACTTCATCATTCTGTTCACAACATACAGAATATTGAAATGGAAAAATAAAATTGGGAAAAGTCCCAACACCGTAGTACATTTGAATTACCGAGCAGGGTCAACCTTTCCGGTCCCAGTTTGTACTGTACCTAGCTCCTTGTACAGGGCTAGCCGGAGCAACAAGGTTGACGCGGTCAGACTTTATGCTTCATATAGGTTGAATTTACTTTCACTAAAGGGGCATAGGTGCGTGCCAATGAATCATTTCCGGATGTTAAGAAAAAGAGCACTTCCGTGGTAGTTGTTTTACCCTTAACATAAACCCTGCTTGCAAAATTATATATGGGTACTATATTTTGTAATTTTTTAAATGTTTTTAGGATATATATATATATACGTTCGTTTAGTCCGCTAAACTTGAGTTCTCTGTGGTAATGAATAGGTGTAATTTAATTAGCATTATGCAAGGCCCTAAACTTATAATGAGTTGGTTGAGCTCTCTGGTCCCTATTTCATTACCAAATCATCAGGGTTTGATGGAGCAGTGGTCAGCGTGTTTGATTCATAATCTAAGGATTCATGGTTCAAGTCCCGTCAACTGCAAAATCAAAAATCTGATGATTAGAGCCATACTGATGAATCCTAATAGGACGAAACACACTGTGTCTATGGATATATATATATATATATATATATATTGTGAATCAAATTGTCTGTACGTTTATTTACTGCGGGAAAACATATTCTACTTAAAATATCTAGAAAATTTAGTTATTTTAAGAGAATTTCTGCAGCAACTAATGATCTTTTTTCTTCTATATCAATTAAAGTTAATGTATTTTTATACTCTGCTTCCTTTCGATTTCCTTCGTACACGGGGCAGAGGCATTCAGTTTTATTTCACTTTGTCCGAATATACAGGTTTTTCCATCTAAACAAAAACAGAGTTTTCCGCCAAAAAAACAAGTTTTTCCATTCAAACAAAAACAAGATTTTTATTTAAACAAAAAAATTTCTTTCATTTAAACAAAAACAGGTTTTTCTATTTTAACAAAAACAGGTTTTCCAACTAAATAAAAACATGTTTTCCATCAGAACAAAAACAGGGTTTTCCATCTAAATAAAAACAGGGTTTTCCATCTAAATAAAAACAGAGTTTTCCGCCTAAACAAAAACAGGATGTTCCATCTAAGCAAAAACAGGGTTTTCCATCCAAACAAAAACAGCTGTTTTTCCATCTAAACAAAAACAGGTTTTTCCATCCAAACAAAAACAGGTTTTTCCATCTAAATAAAAACAGGTTTTCCATCGAAACAAAAACGAGTTTTTCAGTCAAAACAAAAATAGGTTTTGTTTATCTAAACAAAAACAGGTTTTTCCATTTAAGCAAAAACATGCTTTCCACCTAAATAAAAACAGATTTTCCATCCAATTAAAAACAGGTTTTCCATCTAAACAAAACAGGTTTTTTCCAGCTAAACAAAAACAGGTTTTCCATCTAAATAAAAACAGGTTTTTCCATCTAAACAAAAACGAGTTTTTCAGTCAAAACAAAAATAGGTTTTGTTTATCTAAACAAAAAATAGATTTTTCCATCTAAAAAACACATTTTTTCCAAATAAAAACAAATACATATTAATTTTCTTTTAGTTCAAAGGGAGTGTTCGAGAAAAATGAAAACGACTAATACCGAAGAACTGTTAAACCGAAGAACGTAGTGTCCATACAAATTCAGAAAGATGCAACATTCAACTCGGATCGTAAACAAATCAATTTAATTCCAAACAAATCATTCAGACAAACAATAGTCATAGATTATTTTTCGACGCATTCGTAAATAGTTGATATTTCATAATATTTTGTATTTTTCATGATCTGAGAGTTATTTTTGAAAACATTTATTCCTGTTTCGAGGATTTTTGATAATGAAGACGACATTTTCATATTTTCCGATCTCATTTGAACTACTCCCGTTTGAACTATTGTTCATTTGAACTATTGTTCATTTGAACTATTGTTCGTTTGAACTACTGCACGTGGTTGCACCTGAGTAGTTGAAAAGAACAATAGTTCAAACGAGTAAATATATTGCTCATTTGAACTATTTTTCAGTTCATTTGAAGTATTATTCATTTGAACTATTGATACTATAAATGAAATACAAAAGAAAATAGTTTAAATGAACATTAAAATATTTCAAATGGACATAAAAATAGTTCAAATGGACGTAAAAATAGTTCAAATGAACAAAAAAATAGTTCAAATGAAACTAAAAAATAGTTCAAATGAAACTAAAAAATAGTTCAAATTAACAAAAATATAGTTCAAATGGACATTAGCCTGTCCTAGCCGTGGTCATGGACATAGGAGGGGGGCAAGGGACTGGGTGGGCTAGCCTGTCCTAGCCGCAGCGCTCGGCCCAGAAATTGTCTTAACCTAATATAATAAAAAAAAAAAATAATATTTTGCTAAAAAAATGAAATGAAATGAAAAATAAGTGGTCATGAACAAAAGTGATAGGAGGGGGGTTGGGGGTCCAAAAATCGTTCTCTAGGACAATCCCACACTCGTTGCGCCACTGGCTAGCTGTGATTGAGTGATAATGTTAAAGTTAAAAAGTTAAAGTTAGTTTTCCGAGAAAATAAATTATTTTTAGACTCTGTAAGGTTACTAGCTATTTATATGTTTTTCAACTATTTCATTTGAACTATTTTTTTTTCATTTGAACTATTTTTGGTTTCATTTAAACTATTTTTTTCATTTGAACTATTTTTATGTTCATTTGATTTAATTTTATGTTCTTTTAACTATTTGTTTGTTCAATTAATCTATTTTAATGTTTATTTAAAAAATTTCTGTATAATTGTTAACTAATTGTCATTAACTAACTTTATTATAAAAAAATTTAAAAACTGAATTGGTAGAAAAATAGTTCAAATAAGCAAGTAATGTGTTGATTTAAACTACAGGATACGACACCATGTCAGTAGTTTAAATGAACAATAGTTCAAATGGACAATAGTTCAAACGAACAATAGTTCAAACGGGAGGAGTTCAAATGAGAATCAACCTATTTTCCAGGAATGTTCGAAAATCCAGCGCCACCAGCGAAAATTATTTTTTTTAAATATCAAAAATATTATGAAATATTAATTATATACGAATGCGTCGAAAAATAATCGATGACTACTGAGCCCGCGATTTAAAAGCTTCGGCTCGAGTCTTAATTCCTTAAACGCAGCTTTAAGACCCAATCTTAGACCCAACTCTGATGACAGCTTGTGTCACGTGATTGACAGCTGCGAGATCTTAGGCTCGACTTAAGGAGTTAAGCCCAATGAAAATAAAACCGACCTTGGTTGGTTTTAGTGGAGAATAAGGCTCAATGTTGGGTCTTGTTCTCATCAAAACCCGGAATGCGCCAATTCCAACTATAAAAATCCGCCAAATACAACATTAAACCGGTTTTACGAACTAAATTCTGTTGAAAAATAGATGCAACTTAAATCCGAAAGCCCGAGCCGTATGTTGTATTTGGCGGATTTTCATTGTAGGAATTGGTGCATTCCGGGTTTTGATGAGAATAAGTCCCAACATTGAGCCTTATTCTTCACTAAAACCAACCAAGGTCGGTTTTATTTTTATTGGGCCTAACTCCTTAAGTCGAGCCGAAGATCTTGCAGCTGTCAATCACGTGACACAAGCTGTCGTCAGAGTTGGGTCTAAGATTGGGTCTTTAAGCTGCATTTAAGGAATTAAGACTCGAGCCGAAGCTTTTAAATCGCGGGCTCTGAATGATTTGTAAGATTAGTAGCGATCAAAAGCGCTTTTTTATCGCATTAAGCCTATACCCCCTTTCATTTTTCGTGAACACTCCCTTTAAAATAAAATGTTTCCAAAACCTAAAACCAGGTTTTTTTTATTCCAACTAAACCCTCACATTTTTTCGTTGATCGCATATTTTTATTATTAATAATATTACAAAGATGTTTTATTTTAAAAATATGTCGCTTTATAGGAAAAATACCTTTTGAAATCTCTGGGCGGGGGATATTACAGTTTCCTAAAAACATTAAAAATTATTTATCTATTGTGGTAAGGCAATCAAGCTCTGATTACAAACTCCAAAATTCAAACTCATAAAAATAAACTTTAAACTTCTGAAATTCATACTCATAAAATACAAACTCCTGTAATACAAACTCCTGTAATACAAACTCCTGTAATACAAACTCCTGTAATACAAACTCCTGTAATATAAACTCCTGTAATACAAACTCCTGTAATACAAACTCCTGTAATAAAAGCTCCTGTAATACAAACTCCTGAGGTACAAACTCCTGTAATACAAACTCCTGTAATACAAACTCTTGTAATACAAACTCCTGTAATTTAAACTCCAGAAATACAAACTCCTGAAATTTAAACTCCTGTAATATAAACTCCTGTAATACAAACTCCTGAAATAGAAACTCCTGTAATACAAACTCCTGTAATACAAACTCCTGTAATATAAACTCCTGCAATACAAACTCCTGTAATACAAACTCCTGTAATATAAACTCCTGTAATACAAACTTCTGTAATATAAACTCCTATAATACAAACTCTTGAAATACCAATTCCTGGAGTTTGAATTTCAGAAGATTAAATTTCCTTATACTTTTCATTATCTGTTTGAATAAAACTTCTAATTTCAGAACAAAATATTTACCTAAATTATAAGATTTTTTATATAACTTGTAATGTAATATCAATTATCAACGCTCAAACTTCTTTTTATTTCCATTTTTAATGCATAGGGTTCAGAATTGTCAAAAGGCTGGTCTGTGTTTCAAAAAATCAAAAACAGTTTAAAACCTTTTTAATTATTTAAGTTACAACTGATCTGAAATTTATATTGTTTTAAAAGCCCTTGAGAAATGAATGTTTTATAAGCTTATCAAAAATAAAACTATTTATTTTTACATTTTGCTGACATCTATGGGATATATTTAAGACATAAGTTTACAACTTGAATGGGTTTCTGAAAGTTTATATTGTTTATTTATAATTAGGAACAAAAAATCGTGGCGCAGGCGAAAATTTTTTTTGACTGAAAAGACTCAAAAAGAGTCAAAATTAATGACTATAGACTAAAAAACTAGATTTTCTACTTTTCACACATTATAGTTTATTAAGACAGATGTTTTTCCTGTTTTGCACTAGGGTAAGTTTCTTTTCCTTAAGCATGCTATTGAGTAGCTATTCTGAAAATAGGAACAAAAAATTCCGAATTCAGGGGGGGCAAATGTCCCCCCGCCCCCCCCCCTTTATCCGCCCCTGTACGCTTTGCCTGGTCCACAAAGAGAGTCAGCTAAATCTGTGATTGTGCCAATGCAAAGACTTGCAAATGGTACTGTGTAGTTTGCCCACATTGTTTTTAATAATTACCTCTTTTTTACAATAAAAACACCTGTATGTAGTTCTCTATTTACTTATAACTTCGATATTCTTTAGACTTGTTAAAGCATTTAGAAAATTGTATTTAAAGGAAGTGACTGGTTAGGCACGAATGAGAGATAAGAGATTACATATTTATTAAAGTTTAGAATATGCGATATTTTCTCCAGCGCGTTCCACTGTGAACAACTTTAGAACACGACTAATTAGCAGACATGGTATTAAACACTAGAATTGAATTATGTTCTATTCTCTGTATAGGAAAACCTTTAGTTTCATGAGTATTTCATTCATAAACCATTTTTTAAACTTTAAACTTATCATATGAAATATTTGGGAAAACTCATTAAATTGTTAATAAAAAGGTGTGTGTTTTATCTTTAACCTTAATCTTTTTAAAGTTAAAAACCTTTCGTACCAAAAACCATCTATTTATAATTTTACTCTATACAGTTTCATGAATTCTAGATAAATAATGTTATCTCGACGTTCAAGCTAAAATTCGATACTATTTAAACGTTGTAACGTTCATAAATTTAAAACACAGCCTTATATTCCAAACATTGTTAATGTTTTTTATAAGTTTCCAACAACGTTAATGTTTAAGTTATAATGTTAAAGTATATTTAAAAATTAAAATGTAAAATAAATGCTTAAGTACATCTCCCGCAAACAGGTGTCCCACGAAACATGACAGTAGAAAGACGATTTGAAAGTCGTCTTTGATCTTCGAATTCAGTTGTCAAGTTTCTTTCACATGTATAATTCTTGGAGCAATAACCACAGAATTCTCCGAGTCCTGGGATTTCTAAAAAGTGGTCTGCCTTTTTTCTACTGTCAATATTACCGGGGATTTTGAGAATTTCGTTAAGGCTTCAATTTTATTACATAAAACCAAAATTGTCAAAATCTGAACAACATTCTTCAAAATCTTTGGAAATATGGAAAGCACAAAAAAAGCAGAAAAAATTGTGAAAATGCCATATTTCAAAGATCAAAGACGTCCTTCAAGTCGTGTTGCCATTTTCATGTTTTGTGGGACACCCTGTAGCATGATGACATCACCCAAACAATCAAGTTAGGTTAAACAGGGGTTTTCAGATTAAATTTGTCCAAAAATTTATATTTCTGAAAATCAGGAAAAATGTATAATTATAATTTTGAATAAAAAATAGCGTGTACATTGTAAATACACATATACAAAGGTTTTACCAAGTTTAAGTAATTTTGGCGGATGAACTATGTCAGCACTTAACGTACAGATAAAGATAAGGAAACATCCGTCAATCTTTTTAACAGGGTAACTTTAAAGGGACAGACCGGCTATGTAAGGTAGATAGACTGAGTATGCTGCAGTGTTGTGGACAAATTCTTTAGGATTCATTTAAGACATTTTCCACGATGTATAATCACTGAATTTGAGTGCATAGTCGACGTTCAAAATCATGAATTTGGGTAAGTATGTTTTCAGAACCGGTTTTTTAAATTATTAAATAACGTCAACGAAAAATAAAGTATATTTCTCAAAACAAATTTTTCAATAAATTAATGCTAGAATCAATTATTTCGTTTTCATCATTATATTGAATTTCTTATTTTCTTTGAATTTATTCGCAGATTTCTTTAAATTCTTCAATTGTCGTCTTTTCAATAATAATTCCAGAAAATCTGCAGAAAATCTTTGTAAATAAGGAGAAACTAGAATATTGAGAAAATAGAAACTAATAACTGAACAAGATTAATTTTTTTTATGATACGATTAATTTTTATTTTCTCAACCTGTTCCTAAACAACGTCGTTATTTAATAATTAAAATAAAAACATTTCTGAAAACGTATCCACCCAAAAGTACGTTTTTAAACGTCGATTTTGCGCTCAAACTTAGAATTTACAGATCTTTAAAAAGTCTCAAATGCATTCTAAAGAATTGGTTCACAACACTGCATACTCAGTTCAACTACCTTACATAGCCAGTCTGTCCCTTTAAGAAACCTGGCACTTTATCCATAAAGAGTATTTAAAAATAATCCTTTGATAAATTAAATGAAAAGTGTGTAAGACAAATGTGTTGATGTCACCTTTTTTCTAAATCTTTAAAAAAATAATTTTGTTTGTACTTACCGTTCAACGTACACATCCATAGAAGCAGTAATACAATTTCATATTTATAAATTATCATCTAAAAAATGAACCGGGAATCAAGAATAATTTTGAAAATCTAGAAATTATACAGACAATTAAGTTATGTAACAATGCCAATAGACTAGCATACGATAAAGAAATTATGTTGTATTAATTACAAGTATTTGAAGTAGCAATAAAATTGAGATATGAGGAATACTTTGCTCAATTAACACAACATCTCTTTTGGCCTTTATCAGTGAATGTTTACAGCTAGAAAATATCACTATTTGACCCATAACAATTAAAATTTGATCTCAATAATGTTATTACCCCCCCTCCCCCTGGAAAGGATATTAACCCTCCCCCTGAACAAAGTTCTGTATACGTCCCTAAACGCTGTAAACTATTTTAATGAAGCCACTACTTGACATAACGCTGAAATTATCTTTTTAATTCATATTTTTCTTCATATTTTCTTTGGTTTTCACATGGCTTTCTTGCGTACTAATCACTGATTCAGTGTGATGTAACTTTCACTCAAATCATCACTAAAATTTGGATTTAAAACTGGAATTATAGCCTAACATATTTAATACTAATCTAGTTAGATATAATATCAAATTACATTATAACAATTAAAATTTAAATATTATTAATTAGATTATTCTTATAAGAGTTGGACATAGGCCCGGGACAAACAAAGGATTTGTCGGACGCTTTTATGTCGGGAAACTGTAAGTTCAGTCCAGGGCCGACTTAAATGAGGTTCTAACAAAATGATTTGCATGTTTTAGTATACAGGGTGTCCCACGAAACATGACAGTTGGTGAATAGTTTTGAATGTTTTCCTCCATATTCTGTATTTGATATATTAAAGTCCTTTTGTAGTTTAATTCGTTAAACAAATCTTTATATTTTACTTTAAAATCAATTTTTCCAAAGTACATGACGTACCATATAATATCAATTTATTATTTTCCAAAGTACATGACGTACCATATAATATTAATTTATTATTTTCTTCAGTATCAAACAGTATCAACAAATATATAAAAGCAGACATTTAAAACTATTTTTCAACTGTTAGGTTTCGTGAATTATAATTATAATATTTTTCTAAAATTTATGTTTCTTTAGCTAACATAAGCTTAGGTGCCCGTCGTGGCCTGTGGTATAAAAAAGCGAATATGAAAAAATCGATTAATAAAAATCGATTAATAAAAATCGATTAATAAAAATCGATTACCCATGAGTGTTCTCAACCAATTTTAGAATATTCGGTCCAGCCGTTTGGCCAACTTTAGCTATAACATATATATATTAACACAGCCTATACAGAGCCTACATATTTTGTGAAGAATTTTTAAAAGAATTCAACTCTGTGGAAGTTCTCTTGCTGTGACGATTTGGCAAGTTTATTTTGCATAGTTGGAATCCACTGATTTGGCAAGTTTATTTTGCATAGTTGGAATCCACTGATTTGGCAAGTTTATTTTGCATAGTTGGAATCCACTGATTTGGCAAGTTTGTTTTGCATAGTTGGAATCCACTGATTTGGCAAGTTTATTTTGCATAGTTGAAATCCACTGATTTGGCAAGTTTATTTTGCATAGTTGGAATCCACTGATTTGGCAAGTTTATTTTTGCATAGTTGGAATCCACTGATTTGGCAAGTTTATTTTTCATAGTTGGAATCCACTGATTTGGCAAGTTGGATCGATATCTGCATATTCTCTACAGTAGGACTTTGGAAGCAACATTTCAAATATCTCTGACGAATTCTCTTTAGATAAACTAAACAGCCCGCCATCAAGAGCCATCTTTGAAGAATGTGGACCGCTCACCCTTCAAGAAGAAGATAAAATCGAATGTCTGCAGCAACTCCAGTTACAGCTCCGGGACTGTGAAGAAGACGACATTAGAGAAAAATTAAAGTTGTTAATTCACAACTTATGTATACATTAAATTTTAGTCATATATAATCTCTAATCTAATATCTTAAACAATTTTGTGTGTTCGACAAATAAATAATGATAATAATAATAAATGTATAACTATAAAGCAATATTCAGAGCAGCTTCTTAGTTTTTCATATTTATTAATAAAAAATTGTTTTGAATTGCTCCTCTCTAGTCCTTAAACATGGTTAAACTAATGTTTGATATAAATATATTTATATATGAGTGAATAGCTTCATTATAAAGAAGATTAGCGAAGAGCTTTATTATGAAGCGGATTAAGTCTTTACGCGTCTGTCTGTAATTCCAAAAAAATTGTCTGTTGTTTGAATAATAAATTTAAACTTCTTCCTTTTTTAAAGTTATTTATTAAAGTATAAAAAATATTTAAGTAGTTTTGCAAGGTTTTGAAGTTTATTCCACTCTATTTGTATCTGCTCTGTTTCTCTAAAGAAATTATACTTGTCAAAAGTAAACAAAAGCTCACTAACAAGCAACTAAGTGTTAATGGGAATTTTCTTTTTAAGCTGATCTGATCTTTTGAGCATTAACGGTGCGTAATAACGAAAAAAATGTTTGGTTGATTGCTAGAGGAGGGGGGAGGGGAGAGGGGGGTTGAAGGGTTTTAAAATAAACATATAATTGACCGTTTTAGAAAGGTTTTTTATTATACTAAATGTCTAATAGCTTTCTTAATTATAAGAAAATACCAACAAAAAACCTATGAACTGATTGAAATGCTTTAAAAAAGAGAATTTTAGTTAGGTGGAGATAAAAATGCTAATTTAGTGTATTCTATTTAATCATATTTTTATATTAATATAACAAAAACAAAACTGTACAACTGTTTTCTATAAAAAATAAATTATGTTCAATATCTACTAAAATAAAAAAGCCATAAATCAAATCTATAAAATTTTACAGGCATGTTTTAAATTTCTTGCATAATTAGTTTCTATTTTTATTTATTATTCAAAACAGAAAATATTTTTATTTCAGTTTTAAAAAAATGATTGCTGGCCGATCTTGGACCCGATCTGTTTTACAATATTGAAGTTGTTTGATCACGACCAGCCTACAGATCAACAGACAAGAAATATATCTTCTATATACTCTCTATAATTGCTTGGGAACCCTCCCGGAGTTATAACTCAACCAGGTTGAACACATTCCCATGGCTACCGAGTCCCTTCCCCCTCAATATTCGTGGCAAATCAATTCATGGGCTATAATCGGAGAACGTACCAGATTCTGGACCACTTGGGCATTTATGTACATGACATCACACTAAAATGGCGTCGTGTCTCATTCATATATAGTATGTATGAAACCACTAATAAAACTATATAAAGGTTTACCCACAAAGGATGAGACTGTAAAGACGATTTGTATCTCTTTATTTATGAAGATATAAGGGTAAAATTTAGACTTCTGTCTTTACCCTTTTCCGACTAAGACCCTTTTCCGACTAAGGTGGGGTCACCGTGATACTGTCGGTTTTTTTCGATAACTCAAAAAGTATTGGTCTGAGTCTGTTCAAATTGTTGACCTTTCTAACTAAAACATGCCCCTCCCTTTAAGCCGAAAGCGGGGCTTTTTACCTACTGCCTGAGTCGTCAGGCATACTGCCTGAATGCCTTTCTTTGCCCTTACCAGATTAAATTAATGTTTAGACCTACTTCCAGTCATTGGATTTAAATATTGTATAGGTCTTTGAAAAGCGTACAACAAAAAAAAGCAGATTGCACAATTTTGCTCGAATTTTTTCACATACGCCTTAAAGGTTAATTTTCAAAATTTTATTTTTTCTTGAATACACTTTTTTGTTTTAAAATTTTGCAAAAATATTTGCATATTTGAATTTGCTGGGTCAAGGGCTTATCAAAAATGTATAATATATGATAGTTCGCTTACTTTTTGTTTTTGCACATTTTTCGCTAAAAAACTTATTTTGCAATAAATATTAAAAATTTAGCTTCTAATTTATTTCCAGATTGTTTTAGTAGAGCCCAAGGGCTTTTTAAACATGTCAAATATGTTATAGATTTGTATTACAATAAGGAAATAGAGAGGGGACACTGATGACCGCCCCCCCCCCAAATCTATTTTGGGTAAACCAGACGTCACTCGGTATAATAGGGTAAATAATTTTTATTATAGGCTTAAATAATGATTTGCCAAAGAAATATACAAGTATACATTTACTAATTTGAGTCATTAATTTGAGAAAATGGATAGTGTAATCAATTTAATTCCAAACAAATCATTAGATATTATACAACCTATAATCATCAATTTTTTTTCGACTCTTTCGTATGTTGTTGATATATCATAATATTTTTCTTTTATGATATGAGAGTTACTTTGAAAGCATTCATTCCTGTTTCGAGGATTTTTGACAGTGAAGACGACATTTTATTATTTACAGGACTATTCGAAAATCCAGCGCCAGCCGTGAAAAAAAAAGTTGAAAGCGGAATTTTAATTTAAAAAAGACACAATCAACAATAATATGAAATAATAACTATAAACGAATGCGTCGAAAAAAAATCGATGATTATAGGTTCTAATATCTGAATAACTTGCTTGGAATTAAATAGATTTTTTTACGATCGAGTCGAATATTGTAACTTTCTGAATTTGTTTCTTCGGTACGTATAATAAGTATTATTTAACAATTTTCTCTTTATAGAGGCAACAGACAGAAGTAAGATTAGTAGCAATCACTGTCGAATATTTTTCGACGTAAGCGCCTACACACCCACTTTAATTTTTCGCGAATACTCCCTTTGAATATCTTATTTTTATCAATTATTAATCAAAAAATAATTATTAATATCAATTTAATGAAGGTTTTGTTTGAGAGACTTTTTCAGTAGAGATGTAGCATTAAAGTTTTGGGTCTATTTTGTGGCTCTAGAAGATGACATTTAAATCCATCTGATTTTAACAAAATTATTGTTTGTTCACTGACAACCGGTAAAGTTGGGATACAAATCATTTTAAGATTTACATAAAAATGAGAGTTCTTAATAACAACTATAAAAAAAGCACGCTTATACGTTGTAAAGCCAGTTTTAAATCAGTAATTTTTCCAGAGCATAATACAAATTC